CCTTCTCCTTGGGACGACTTCGAAAGGCTGGGCCAGGATCTGGGGTTTAGGGTTTAGGGTTTAGGTTATAGGGTTTAGGGTTTAGGATCTAGGGTTTAGGGTTGAGGGTTTAGGATCTCGGATTAGGGTTTAGGGTTTAGGGATCTGTAGGCGGAGGTGGTAGGGCGAGCTCAGTAAAGCGGCTTGCTTGCGCTTTCCGAGGTGTTGGCGGGCAGTTATTTGAAGTCCAGAAACAAGAGGGAATTGGGGAAAGCTGGAACAGCATCAGCAGCATCCATGAATTCGACGACGACAACGCGATCAAGCAGTCTAGGGTCAGGAGCATGCATGTTTACGATGCCCACTGAATGGGTGTGCAAAGGCTCTCAACCATGCAACTTCAACTGTGGATGCTCTTGAAAAAACCTGCAGCAATCGTTGAAGCTATTCATTCTAAACCCCAAGCGAGACTTTTCAAGGAAATGACCCCGAGCATCGAGAGATTACATTGGGGCCGGGATAGACGAAACATATCAAGGATGTTGCACGATGTTGGGTTGCACTACCCACCCCTGATTAACTCGTAGCTGACACGGAGGTGCGCGAGGCACTCCAACACGCGGTTCAACAGCTGGGCAAAGCACACGAGAGATGCAATACCAGCTTTTCCATGTGAAGCGTCCCTTGCAGGGCAATGCCCTGCATGGCATATTCTGAAGCTGATCTGAAGTTGTAGCACTCCGACAGCTTCTCGAACAAAACGCCCAGGTCAAGCCTGGAGATCCCCATCGCGTTAAAAACCGACTGCTCCCCTGGATCGGTCTTCAAGCTGGCCAGTGACTTTCTCACTCAAGGCAAGCATGGAGAAGGGGGAACCATGCACTGCATTTCTGACGTTTCTCACGTTTCTCACCTGTGGTGTAATACGAATTCCCCTCTTGCTAGTATTCAGTTCTCGCGCGCTTCACGCGCGATGCCGTGGAATCCATGACTTCCCACGTAACCTCCATGCATTGGTCCATCAAGGGTGTCGAGGGCAACCCGAGGCTCTCCGAGGAGCTCTCCTGTCCCAAACTTGTCAAGACATGTCGCGCTTTACCTCCCAGCAACCCCATCGACCCAGCTGTTTCCGTGAAAGGATGATGGCTTGAACTTGAACTCCCAAACTACAAGCGTCACTTCAGCCTACGTCTAGGTCGAACTGCATAACAGGTGAGGCTGCATGCGAAGATACAAGAGCGAGTCCTCGCCAATACGTTTGTGGATTCTTCGCAGAATACTGCATGCGTCCATGTGCAAGTACTTGTCGATGAGGAAGTTTTTACCTGGCGTCTTTGTCAGCATGCAAAAATTGCTGAAGCGATCGATGGCGAGCGAAACTGTGGGAATCAGTAACAGCCAAGTCGCAGGTGTTCAAGTCACTGCGGAAGAAGGATGCATCGGCCTCATGGAACTTGATTGCCTGGTACAGTCTTTCCTCGACATTATTCACCGAGATTTTCACTTTTCCAAATGCTTGAGGCACTTGCTTTTCAATCCGCACAGGGCATACTTCATTGAGACCTCTGTGAGGACGTAAACATTCTCCTCGGTAACGGTGGCCTCCGAAGCCACGGACGGGCTAAAGGTCGCATCGGTGATGTCGAGGCGCAGCTCCTTAGTCAGACTCTCCTTGAACTTCCCGGCCAAAGATACCTTCCAAACCTCAGAGCTCAGTGCGAGCACCACGGCTGGGACAAGGTAGGGTTCGTCCCGATCTTTGACTTTCACTTTGATCATCCCGTCCATGTCGGCCATGGATTCGAGCTTTTGAGCATGGTCCGCCATTGTTTCAGCGAAGGGGGGCGGGGGGGGGGGACACTGCTACACGCCCAACCCGGGCTGAGGCCGAGACTGGCAGAAAGATTGTAGTCTGAAGTTAGTTGGTGTTGAAGTCTGCTTGGTCATGGTAAGGTATTTTATAGTATATTATGATATGTCAGAGTATATTATGTATGGTATGTTATGGTATATGTGTTATAGTAGTCTTGGGGAAAGGGCCGTGGCGCTGTGCTCGGTCTTATGCTGTCCTATGTCAAACTGACGTCACGCTTTCGACTGATGTGTCGCGGTATCAGCTTGGCAGGTCGCCTCGTGCTCACAGGAGACACCCGGCAGAAGTCATCCATGGAATCCGACGGACTTTGGAACAACCGGCAACAAGTCCAAGGTCCTGCCCTTCTCCTGAACCCTAAACCTCAACCCTAAGCCCAAAAATCCTCAGAAATCCCAACTGCGAGATTTCTAACCCTAAACCCTAGCCCCTAAACGCCTTAACCCCTAAATCCTGAGCCCTAAACCTCTAAGCCCTAAAGACCTAAACCCTCCGTGATCGATTTCCTGAATCCCCGGGATCCTCGACAGCACCCTCCATCCCCTGAGGCCAGCACGTCTTTCTTTACTAGAACATCCGCCCTGGCTCATCTTGGCTGAGGTTTGGGGTTTTGGGTTTAGGGTTTAGGGTATTTGGGGGTTTTGGGTTTGGGTTTAGGGGTTTAGGGGTTTAGGGGTTTAGGGGTTTAGGGGTTAGGGGAGTCGGAACTGCTTATCCCAATCGCCCTGCCATCACACACTCTCATTGGTTCGGCACATAGACTATACAACCTGTAGACCACCGTTGCTGTGCAGAGCCTCTGTACAGCATTGACTGGTATGCACAGTGCTAGCCAGATCTAGTTGGTGACCTACTACCAACATAGAGCACCTGTTCAGGGTTTGCGCTTCCAAACGGTAAGATCGTCGCACAAAGGCCAGTGCGGTAGTTTCAGCCGTTCCACGCACAAGAGATCAGAAGCCAGCTTCTGCTGGAAGGCGCTTGATTATGTCAGAACAAACCTTTCTGTTTGGTTACTGTTGGGTTTGTCTGTCCCTCCCACTCGACAACATACACCACCGTCTGCCCACCATAATGCCTCAAGCATTCGGCATCCCAGTGATCAGCACCTTGCTCAAGCGAGTATGGCCACACCAGCACTAAGGCACGGTCTTCGTGCTTTGAAAGAACACTAGGCTCGCCCTGCTTAATGTCTGCGAGGGTTTCACAAAAGAAGGGATTCGAAAGCTCATCGATAGGAGGCAGGATGTCGTAGGCTATGACATTACAGCCTACCATGGCCAGGTGTACAGCCCAATAGCCGCTGCCAGCACCCATTTCAACTACCGGCGAGTAGCTGGTCATGCAATCCAAGGCAGCTTTGTTTGGGATTGCAAAAGCAAAGAGCGTTGTCAATGGCTCGTACATCAACGACTACGACCAATACCACAAACAACTGCCGCTAGTGACGGCTAGCGCTGCAACACCAGTACACTGCGACTCCGAGCACGACTGTTGCTTACCACCTAAGCACCTAATCATCAAAACACATTCCTCCCACATCAGGCACTGAGTTCGGATTTACAAAGTTAAACCGCAAACACAGAGCACAGAAAATTGGCAAACATGCCAGGCAATCGTGTTGGCGTCAATGTCTTTCTGCCTGCACGTTTCAATGCAAAGCCAATAGCCAACTCTAAACCCTAAACCCTAAACCCTAAACCTAGCCATTCGTCTGAGAGTTCCGGTCCTGAAACCCTCCCTCCCTCGCTCGCTGCTCTGCATCGCATGACTCCACAGCCGAGCCACCCCTTCTTGACGAAGATCGCCACGTTGTTCACGTAGCGTGGGCCTCGCTCCTGTACAGGCCGGAATAGATTCCGGAGCTAGGAGGTGGGAGTTTCCGACAAAGAAGGGGTACCTTATTTTGGGGTCCTTATAATAAGGATCCTACTATTTAGGGTGCTACAGTAGGGTCCCCTATTTTCGGAAACCCCCATGTCGTTTTGGGATTGAGGGTTTGGGGTCACGGCGCTGAGAGCTTAGGGGGGGGGGGGGCTTTGGGAGGCTGGTTGAGGGCCCGGCACTCCACAGACCTACCACGGTTCGAAGCTGCCTTCAAGAACGCGAAGGGTAAGAGCAAGCCAATTCGTCTCTCCTTTTCCCTGAAGCCCAGAACCCTAGAACTCTAAGTCCTAGCCCTGGAAGAGCCCTCTGTCCGGCTGGATCCGACCTGCGCCGCCAGCTCCTCATCCATCTTCTGCCTCTCGGCTTCGAAGCTTTGGGGCTTCGGCCCGACGGGGTTCTACAGGGAGGTTGGGGCCGGCCATGCTTCAGGCCGCGAAGAGGGAGGCCCAAAAACTCCTTGAAAAAAACTCTAAGAGCCACAAAACCCTCAAGCCCCTTTAAACCCTAAAGCCCCCAAAGGCCCCCCAAGCCCAAGAATCTCCCGGCCATGGCCTGATGAGGTGCACGCTGCATCGCTTGTTCACGTAGTTGCGCTTGCGGCTCTTCCTGTCCCGCTGCAAGAAGTGTGGGGGTCCCCCTAAACCCTATAAACCCTAAGGTTTAAGTTGCCGGGCCTTTCGGGTTTAAGGTTCAGGGTTCAAGGCTTGGGATTTGGGGCCTTTGGGTTTCTGGGCTTCTGCGCTTCGTTGGTTCGTGTGTGGGCTTAAGGTTCCAGGGCTCAGGGTTTGAGAGGGCTTTTTCGGTTCAGGAGGACCCGAAACGTCCGAAGGCCCGAAGTTCTGAACAAACCTAAACCCTAAACCCTAAACCCTAAGCCCTAAACCCTAAACCCTAAACCCTAAGCCCTAAACCCTAAACCCTAAGCCCTAAACCCTAAACCCTAAACCCTCAACACCACCTCATCTCGAGGGGCCTTAAAGACCCCAGCAGCATGAGGATCTCAGTCCCGGACGTTAAATCCCAAAAGCCCTTACCTGGACCCCAAAAGTATGTAGAATAATAGCCTTTTTATGGGTTTTGGGCCAGTATTTTACCTACTTTTGGTGGTTTTTCGGTAAAAAAAAAATCCAAAGATCCCCAAACAAAAACGCCGAAGATCCCGAGCGCCGGGCAGGAGGGGTTGACCTCATCAGCAACAGTGAGCACGGTGCTCCCGTTATTGTCGGTGATGCCGTAGGGCTCCCCACCTCAGCGAGCGAGTTTCGGGTTTAGAGGGCGGTTTAGGGTTTAGGGTTTAGGGGCGGTTTAGAGGGTTTAGGGTTTAGGGCTTAGGGTTTAGGGGCGGTTTAGAGGATTTAGGGTTTAGGGTTTAGGGGGCGGTTTAGAGGGTTTTGGGTTTAGGGCTTAGGGTTTAGAGGGCGGTTTAGAGGATTTAGGGTTTAGGGTTTAGGGGGCGGTTTAGAGGGTTTAGGGTTTAGGGTTTAGGGTTTAGAGGGCGGTTTAGAGGATTTAGGGTTTAGGGGTTTAGGGTAGGGTTTTTTGCGGGTTTAGGGGATTTAGGGTTTAGGGGTTTAGGGGTTTAGGGGAGGGTTTTTTTGCGGGTTTAGGAGGCTTAGGGTTGAGGGTCTAGGGCTCGCCAGACTCCGAGTGATGGGCTTCTCTAAGGGCTCTTCCAGAATTTTGACTTCGGGGCCCCGCCGGGCGAGGAGGGACGGGGTTTTAGGTTTAGGGGTTTAGGGTTTAGGCTTTAGGTTTAGGGTTTAGGGGCTTCTTCTGGGATCACCCAAATCTCTGAAAAAAGTGGCTTAAAGACTCACCAAGACTATAAAAAAAAGAGCCCTATTCCAAGTATTATTAAGGCCCCTACCTTAGTCCGATCGATTGACAAACCCAAAACCCACCCTAGACCCTAAACCCTAAAAACCGTTTCAAAATCTGCCTCCTTGAATGAGACGTTCGACCCCTGATGTTGGATTCCACCTCCCTACTCATGTCATCTCCGCCGAGGCGAAGCAGCACAAAGACGAACCGAACCTCGATCCGAAAAACTGGAGCACTAATGCCGTTTGAAACAGGAGATTTATGGGCCAAACAAGGCTTTGGGCTATATTATGGTAGCATCGGAATACACAGCCCTATGAAACACTCTTAGCAATCATTTAGGCCTCTAGAGCACTGCCAGAGTAAACCTACTTGCGAGAGTTACAGGGCACCTTGCCGCATCGACTCGGGCACAAGTACATACAGTGGAACAAGCGTATGTGCAATGAAAACCACCGTATGTCTCCCTGATTTAAATTATAATAACTTTACCTACCAGGTTCTACTGATCCTCCGAGTCTATCCTCCAAATTGTACGAAGCTTACTTCATGCTTAATTACTGCAACCCTAAACCCCACAACCCCAAACCCTAAAACCCCCAAAACCCTGTACCTTATAAACCCTGTAAGACCTAGCTGCAGAGCCCGAAGTCGACACTTTGCTAGGCTTCTCACGTCTCGGCCGTGACGGAACGATGAGGATGCATTCCTTTGTTTAGGGGTTTAGGGGTTTAGGGATTTATGGTCTTAGGGGTTTAGGGTTTTGTAGGCTTTAGGCTTACAGGGTTTAGAGGTTAAGGGCTTAGGGCTTTGAGCTTGGAGGGTTGGGGCTGATAATCTTAAACCCGAAAGCCTAAAAACCCTCGAGCCCTTCTGCATGGAAGCTCGAGGGAAGCAGAGGCCCAAAAGCATTCTCGTATGGATATATTATTAAACGAAACTACAGGTGGGGAGTTTAGGGTATACAGGGCTTCTATAAGGCTTCGATAAGGTATATAGACTTTCTATAAGGCTCCTAAAACGGTAACTACCCACCTGAAAACGTACAGGAGCAGTAACGAACCCTAGAAGCCCTAGGCCAAATCCCTGAACCCCGGCCCAAACCCCAACCCCT